AAAAAAAAAAAAAAAAAAAACCCTTTCTATGTTGAATTGACCATAGAAAAATAATTAAAAATGTAATTTTATAGAAGAAATTACAAGTGTAGTATTTTAATTAAAATATATATATATATATATATAAACGTATTCATCATTGACGTTATAATGATAATTAGATGTTTTTTTTTTTAAACTTATGGATAATCATTCCTTTATAAACCAATGTTGAACTCGCCAATGACAGCATTCATTGTGCTTTTTGTAATATTTTATCGCTATTGTTTGTCATTATCGAAAAAAAAAATAATAATTATAAGCATAAATTCCATAATTAATTAAAAATAATAATTCTTACCCTTTATTTTAGCACTTCGAATCAAATAAATAAATAATAGCCATCTTATTATTAAGCTGAGATTATTAAGAAAAAGAAGGAGTGCCAACGAGGACGTTGGGTGTCACAGTCATGCTTGTCTAAGGCATGTCGCCCATGGGTGCATGCCCGTGATACGCCGAAACCTTTGCCTTGTACTATTTTATTGCTTTCTTTTACTGCCTATTTCTTTCTTGTTTTCCTTAAGAGTATGATGTTTCGGCGATGTCATGGCTATGCCTAGTAGACATGAAATGTCTCAAAATGTACTATAGGGGAATACGACTAGTTGTCAACTTCTCCCTACTCGATAGTTATATGCAATAAGTCGTTGTTGCCTTTTTGCTTACGTTCCCATATAACACCAATTTCAATTTATCTCTCTTTCCAAAACCTCTCCCTTTCTTTCTAAAATCTTATTTTGAAATCAAGACCCGAAGTTTGTATTCACGTTGCCCGACCATAGGCAACGTAACTTGAAGTAGGCTTGACCCACTCAGTGCTGAGAGTGGGTGCCGCACAATCGCCAAATCCGCTGCCTAGAAACCCGATTGTGATATTGGGCATGAAAGGGGTGGACACCAAATGGTGTGCCAGCAAGGACATTGAGTCCCAAGGGAGTGGACACTAAAAGGTGTGTTAATGAGAACACTTGACTCTAAAAGAGCCGGATTGTGAGATCTCACATCGATTGGAGAGAGGAATGAGTGTCAGCAAGGACGCTAAGATCCCACGTTCTAGATCGTGGAAATCTTTTCCTAACAGACATGTTTTAAAAATTTTAGAACGAACAATATCTACTAGCAGTGAGCTTGAGTTATTTTTTATGATTTTGAGTTATTAAAAAAAATAATAATAATAAGAAAGAAAAAATGGGAGGGCCCATGGGAAGTCGTTGGGGCGACCAAATGAGTGGGAGAAAGGCATAAGCCTATGATTGATTCATTGTCAAAACGTTGATTAGGGAATGTGGGAAAAGAAAATGAGTACTTAAAGAGAGAGAAATTGTGGGGGTAGTAGGGGTAACCCTACGGCCTAGGGCTGCCTGCCCTTCTTCCATTGGGACGCTATATCCTACAACTTTTATTTATTTATTTATATTTATATAAAAAGAATTAAATAATTTCTCTCTCTAAAGCTTATCATTAAAGCCTGCATGAGTTCAATTATTGCAATGATCCCAAAAGCATGACATATCTGACCTCGTCACATCCCCTGGATCCACTCCCCAACGCCCTTTCTCATTTACTTTTATACCCCCCATCTCTTCACTATTTATTCACCTACCCCCCTAATTTCTCTATTTACTTATGTGCCCCTCTCTCGTCTCGACTTCCCATTCAAATCCTTAATTATGTTACGTTTTATTATAATGGACGGTTTGAGATTATTGGATGATGAAAATCCTACGTCGGCTAATTTAGGGAATGATTATGGATTTATAATCAAATAATACTATCTCCATTGAAACGAGGCCTTTTGGAGAAGTCTGAAGCAAAGCTATAAGAGCTTCTACTCAAAGTGAATAATCTCATACAATTGTGAAGAGTCGTGTAGTGTCCTTAAACGGAGAGGGAGAGCGGCCATTGGATACCCTAATGGGAGTAGGGTTTTGGGGTAGTGGGATGGGGAAGCCTACACTACACTCAAAATGATACAATTGCTTTCGTGAAAAGACATTTATACCCTCTTCCTCTTCCCCCTCCAAAAAAAATAAAAAAAAGACCACTTGCATTGGACAGTGTAAAGACATGGTCGCCTTGTCTGCCCCAAGTCAAACATCTTATTATTTGGTCAAATCTCGTGCTAATCTCTCTTTCTCTCTCTACTTTTTTTTTTAAGCAAAAAAAAAAAAAAAAAAAAAGGAAAAATTTCTCCCAAAAATATTATTTTGACAATTCTAACCCCAACATGTGGAAGATGATGTCTTGGAAAGTCTGCTTTTAAAGCCACCCTATCAAAATTAATTTATTTTATTCCAAAGTTAAATTATTAAATAACCCATATATTTACTCCAAAAATACATAATATTCACGTTTCAATTTTATTTATTTATATCAATAAAATAGCTCAAAATTATTTCGACCTATTCAATAATTTTTTTAAATAATATTTCAATAATTATTCAAACTTATTCAAACCTCAAACGAGGAGGGTCGTAAATTAAATATTTAGTATCGGTAGATAAAATAGACAAATAAATATGTACTTCACAATTATACAAATAGATTGACGTGATGTAATAATGATCCGAGAAAATAATTGTTAGATCACCTTTAATAAAAAAAAAACTCAATAATATAACTATACGAAATAAAAGAATTCCAACGTTAAAATTATTAAATAGGAATAATGAATTTAGAGACACCTCTAATATTTTTTTAGACCGTCTAATAAAAAATATTTAATAATTAATTAAAATTAAAAGAGGAGGGAATTTGTGATGGGTTTGGTAAGGGAGCAATTAATGAGTTTGATAATAAAATAAATATTTATGTAATGATTTTGGGTGGCTGGGTTGGTGAGAAAAACAATAATATTAACAGCTAGTAATTAATAAATTGATTAAGAAGTAATAAATTTCAATTACGAAAATATTAAATATTAATTACTTAATCATTTATATTGAAGAAAGTCCCAAGTCAAAGATGGTTATGTTTCTGTCAAGCCTTGTGCCTGTCCTCTCATAAATACATTCTCATGATTTTTAATAATCACTTAAATATTTTATTTTTTATTTTTCTCTTATTAAATAATAATTTAAGTAAGGTATGATTTATATAGACATTTTGAGTGAGTTGGTTCTCTCCGATATGCGACTCGAACAACCCTAATAAACCTAACTCAAATTTGATTTGGTGTGAGTTTCAACGGGTGTACTCGTGTAATAAATATTATTATTATAATTATTGAATGAATTTTAGGTTTGAAATTTTAAATCGAATAAATTGAATAATGGGGTGAAATAAATGATGAAATAATAATGTTGATGTTTTTATCCTCTCACATTAATTTATTGACATAGAATATATTTGTATTTATTAGTTTGGGAACCAAGCCAAGCTAACTAAAAATAATTTCTTTTGGAAAATTATTTTGTTGGACCACAAGAGGAAATAATAATTTTAGAAAATAAAAATATTTTTTTTTAATTTTATATTTCATAAATCAATTTAATAAATTATATAAATATTTGGTAGTTTATTTTCTAAAAAAGTTAAATATATAATTTTACTTGTCTAACTACCCTTGAACTAATCGTGGTAGTTAATGAAGTAATTAAAATCGCAAATAAATGAATTGAATACGTCGTAATACTAATTTATAAAAATACTCTAAATTTCACGCTCAACATCGAATAATTACTACACATACATAAATAATGTGTATGTTTTTTTTTTTTTATAAGGACTCGTATTGATAAATTATAACAACTTAAATCCACCACCAGTTGATACGGTTCTCTTTAAGTTTTCCCTTCAAGATTTTAAAATGGGAGAGGTTTTCGCACGCTTACGAGTAATGTTTCGTTCCCCTCTATAACTCAGGTGGGATCTTACAATTTTCGCTGGGGCACTGTTCAGTGTGTCTAGCTTTGATGTCATTTGTAACAGTCCAAGTTAGTCGCGAGCAAATATAGTCATTTTTAAGCTTTTTTCAAAAACTCTCTCTACTATGAGATATTTCATATCTTATAAGGAATGTTTTTCATATCACTCGTGGGCAGTATTGTCTTTTTTGGCTTTTCCTTCAAGGGTTTTTTCTTGATGTTCTAAAACGTGTCTATGTCTACTAGAAAGAGATTTCCACACCGTTATAACAAATGGAGATATTAGATGCGAAGTATTATAAATAAAATGAAGAGAAGAAAAAGGAAATATTTGATGAAATTATTATTAACCCATTTGTAAGTGTCTATGAACAGAACATAAACATTCAACGTTGTCAGCTCTGATTAATACCCCACTTGAGATATGTAAATGTCCCAATACTTTTCTTTTTGTTTTGTTTTTTTTTTTTTTAAAATTTTTAATCTCTCTCTCAAGTCTCGTGTATGAACCGCTGTATAATTTAATATTTTCACGTGCACTTCTCAATCTTCTTTTGTCGGTCAATCTCACTCTTCCATCTCAAAAAATAAAAAAAAAATAAAAAAACCAAACAAAAAGATGTCTTTTTTTTTTCTTTTTTTTTTTTTTTAAATTCATCTCGCATTTAAAAACCCTCTTCGCCTTCTTCTTTCCTTTTAACTCTGCCTTTCTTTCCTTCTTCCTCTGGCAATGGAGTTGGGTTTGAGCCTCGGCGATGCACCCATTTCCAATAAGCCATTTGGGTTTCTCTCTAATGGCGTTTCTAAGCTCTCCTCTTCTTCTTCTTCCTCTCTAATGGCTTTAGGGTTTTGTGTCGGTTTGGCTCATGATTCCGCTTCCGGTTCCGGCTCCGGTTCGCCTTCTGGTTCGGTTCACGACGACGACGATGAAGAAGAAGATGATAATCATGATCGGACAATGGTTCTTTCCGGTTCGGATCCGCCGGTTCAGCTGGATCTTCTTCCTTCAGCTCCCGTTCCTCGTTCTTCCCATCTCCGATTTCCATGGCTTTCCGATCACTGTAAACACACTCCCCTTCATGGGTTTCCTTTAAAAATCGAAACTTTATCATCAAAAAATGATCTTTATGTTATTTTTATTCTCGTTGCAGTAATCCCAGAAGGAGAAGAAAGGGTAGCGCTGGATGTAAACCGCCGCCCTGCGGTGGCGGCTGCGGAGGAGACAGAAGACAGGGCGGCAGTGACGGCGGCGTTGTCATCTCCGAACAGTACGGTTTCGTCTTTCCAGATGGATTTTGGGGTCAGAGCTTCCTCAAGAATCAGCGACGATGAAGAAAATGGGTCTGCAAGAAAAAAGCTTCGACTTTCTAAAGATCAATCGGCTTTTCTTGAAGAAAGCTTCAAAGAACATAGCACTCTCAATCCAGTAAGCAAAACCCTTTAATCTTTAGCTTTGATTTTTAAAACCCTTTTTGTAAATTGTGAGACCCTAATGGTTCCCTTTACAATTTGTAGAAGCAGAAGCTAGCACTAGCCAAGCAGCTCAACCTCCGACCAAGACAAGTGGAAGTTTGGTTCCAAAATAGAAGAGCTAGGTACGCTATAAATTTTTGTTTCCGGGTTCTGGGTGTCGAACATTATTGGGAGGGAGTTCACACTTGCTAATTTAGAGAATAATCGTAGATTTATAAGTAAGCAATACATCTGTCTTCGAGTAAAGCCCAACACATGCTAATTTAGGAAATGATAGTAAGAAATATATTTTTGTTGCTACGGGTCAAAGTGGACAATATGACAATTGGGTTCGTAACATTATTACAAATTCGGTTGGAAATTCATTAAAAACACCAAAAATTTGATGTTTTTATTTTGTGTTGTAGGACAAAGTTGAAGCAGACAGAAGTAGATTGTGAGTATTTAAGGAGATGTTGTGAGACATTGACAGAAGAGAACAGAAGATTACAAAAGGAGCTTCAAGAGTTGAGAGCTTTAAAAACATCTCAGCCCTTTTACATGCAGCTTCCGGCCACCACTCTCACCATGTGTCCGTCCTGCGAGCGCGTCGCCACCGCCACTCCCGCTGCCTCCGTTGCCACCAAAACCACCGTCACCGTCGCCACCACCGCCCCCAACCCAGCCGCTCTATGCCTTGCAAACAAGGCGAGGATCTTGCCATTTCCTCATTTGCATCAAGCTGCCTCATAAACCCAAATATTAATTACAAAAAGTTGGATTTTTGTACATATTTTAATTTGTTTTGGATCTGTTTTTGTCGTCTCCAGCTTTTAAATATGGATCTCTCCCTGTTCTTCATCAGTTCTTGTTCTTGCATGCATGGTTGCAGGTTCTTTTTGGGTTACACAAAGTATTGAGCTTTGGGAGATGTTATATTTTATGGTGTATTGTTATTTTTTATTTCAAACCATTATCAAACGAAACAAAATCTTTATTTTATTTCTTTCTCTCTAATCTAAATAGTCAGATGAACTATGTTTAAATTGGATGTTTAAATTGGATTAAGATAACTTTAATTGAATAACTCGAACGGATAAGATTAGATTTTTCGACTTTGACAACATTAATCATATAGGAAGATCTTGAAATTTGTGATAATAATGATAATAATAATCATAATTAAGAATTGATTGAGAAGCAAGGAGAACTTGGAAGGCAAGCAAGAGGCTACAACCATACTGCCAATGGACATAATAAAACCCTAAAAATGAATATCAAAGCCAATCTCGAGGCTCTTCCATTGATGGCCTGCAACGAGTATGATCACGAGCTCATGATTTAATTCTTTGGGAGACAAAAACTTGAAGATGAAGCAATAATCGTAGATGTGATAGATGAGTTTAACGACATGATATTTTATTTTAAGGAACTAAATTGTAATTAAGATTAAGGAACAAAGAGTTCCCTAGTGACATTGGTCAAATCTGGTGTGACTTTTATGATCGATAGTTGACTTTTAAAGTTGACTTTTTTTTCCTACAATCATTTCAATTTGAAAATTATTAAACGAAATCAAAATTGGATTACATACTATAATGAGAAGGTTTCATTATAAATCTCATAATATCATATATCAAATATATATCACTAATCCACGATCAAAAGTCAAAATTCTGACATGATTAATTCGGAGCCTTCCTTCGATTCTTTTTCTTCTTTATTCATATGATTTTTCCCTTTTGACATAATTTTTTCAACTATTCTTTTATGCGTTGTACTAACATTGACTTATTTGACACGTAATTGAAATAGAACGGGTCGTTTACTAACATATTTTTCAAGATTAGTATTCGAGCATTCAGATGAAATTAGTGGATAAAGATAACTTTTTTAGTAGCCAATTTCGATTTGAGTTTGAGTTGAATCATAATCATGTCAACTCATGTCCTTAGCACTTTATCAAAAGGTCTCAATTTGCTTCAATCCATTAGGGAAAAAAAGTCAACCCTTGTTCCATTTTCCTTGTAATAGTAGCCAACCTAGAAGCTTCATGATCAAACAGTTTGACCTTCCTTTGACTTTCCACTAGAGTATTTTCTTTTTTAATTCTTTTAAAAAAAATTATATTTTTTCATTATATGGGACGGGAGCCTTCGATCTCGAGAACCCCGCATCAGAAAAATGAAGAAACTTCACATTCTTTATAAAAATATACGAATTACTCCTCTCGTTGTCAACTAATTTTAGGATAGAATCTCATGTTCACGTACGTTCATTCTAAAATTGGGACCTGATCTAAGAATTTAAACCGACCATTCCGTCGATCCGAAAGACCTCACATTCGACACATGGGTTACTTCTCTTGTGTCAATTAATTTTGAGTAGAATTAAAAATGATTTATTCTAGTCAAAATCGAAAATACTCCGACATTGTATTGAATGGGCCGTAGTTGCTGATAAGCCCATAAATTTAATCGAAGGCCCAATTTCAATGCTACTTTTATTCCATAGGCCCAATCCATAATCCAAGTATCCCATCCTTCATTAATTCCAACCACCCTCATATTATTAGACAATTATCCAAATACCTATAAGGGCATTTATGTAATTACATGTATTTAGGGTCTCTCCCTCTCTCCTCTCCTAAACTAGATCTATGAAGTTTATTTATATACGTAAGAGTATAGTTAGGTAGACTGATTTCGCATTCAGAGATCGTTCTTCACGATTTTGGTGTAAGAATAGATCAGTATAAAAATTGAACGGGAAAGGGATTCGGGTGGGATCGTAGGTAAGGATGAAGAATATAATTTTTATCCCGATCCTATTTATATAATGAAAGAAATCTCTTTCCACTCCTTTCTATTGTCGGCGGATTTATTATAAATATTAATTGTGCTCAAATTATTGTAATGGTAAGGTAAATATTAATTAATTAAAAAAAGGGTGAATGGAATAAATAAATAAAAATATGTGGTGGAATAATTAAAGGGGCATTGGCCGACAAAAATAGGAAAGACATGTGGGAGTGTGAGGCCTAGAAATGTGGTGTCCAAAAATAAAGCGGACGCCGACAGCCGCGTCCAGTTTCTTACGCAATTTACAACACACAACAACAATAACAATAATGTTGTAATTGATTATGATTGGTCCAAATCTTTTATTGTGTGGATTAAAGTTAATTTTTTTTAAAATATATTAATATCCTTTGAATTAATAACATTTTCAATTTTTAGATTTTGAAAAAGTTAAAAATAAAGAGTTTTATGATTTTTTTTTTATCTATTTTATGGATTTTAATCTCCAAAGATGAAAAAGAATTATTATCTTTAAAATAAGAAATTATGGATTTTATTTATTTATTATTTTGAAATAAAAGAAGGCTTAGCCCCGCGTGAGAAAAGGGCAAAAAGGTAATTAATTATATATAGTTCTAAGTCATTGTCATACGGACCATGTCACACTTAGGAGTAAAGACGGTTAGAAAATTAGAATAAGACTTAGAGATTCAAATGTTTTAAATATCTTTTCAGTGCATAAATTCTACTTTAATCTAAATTTCGTCACTAAACAATTATTTATTACTCTCTTAAATCTACTTATTATTTATTCTAAATCACTAGATACTTATATGCATCTGCTAGCAAGCGGTTTACAGTAAGAAGCGCTTCGTTTCCCTCTCCAATCAATGTAAAATCTCACAATCTACTCCCTACTCTCCTTGGGGGCCAGCGTCTTGTTGGCACATCACCCGATGTTTAGTTTTAATATCATTTGTAAGAGCCCAAAACCCACCACTAACAAATATTATCCGTTTTGGCCCGTTACGTATCGTCGTCACGATTTTAAAATGCATTTGCTAGGAAGAGATTTCCATACTCTAATAAGAAATGTTTTGTTCTGCTCTACACTCGACATGGAATTTCATAGAAGTCTAACTAAAATGATCTAAGTTCTATAGTAAAGAGCATATTCCTACATAATTTAAAATTTACAATTGGTAGCCACCAATAACCATAGAAGAAGATTTCAGCTGATCCTCAAGAACACAAACTTCGTTTCTATATCATCCTACTCTCATTGATTATTGTAGAACCAAAAGAATTCATATCAACTCTTTGTTGTTTGATCCTTTTCTATATGATTCCAAAAAAAATTCAGAAAAAAAAGAAACGCTAATCTTTTAAATCTTTGATATGATATGAACTTAACCCAATAAACATATGTACTTACTTTCTTTTCTTTGTGCCTCTTTATGTTCTTCTTTGCTGTTTCAATAACAGTTCTGCATATAGAATCTCATTCCATGTATCAGGAACACCAGGAAGACACCAATGGCTGCAGTCCTGGAATCTCAATGGCGATCTCCTCTCTTCTTCCGTTAGCTTTTGCTTCCGGTAGATCGACGGGTGCCCGTCCTTCCGAAAATCCGTCATCTTCGTAATGTTTAGATATGTGACATGAGTTTTCATCCCTCTCAATACCTTCTCCAGAACAACCATCTTCTTCGGATACCGTCGCAGATATGTCTCGTTCTTGATCGGCTCAATCGCACTGTTGCATTGTCCACCGGAGTTCCACTGGCCTCCGCTGTTGAACACAAATGATTCATCATTCAGCAATGGTCTCATGTTTGATTGTTTCTATTTGTTTGTTGTTTTACCTGAAATGGGTTGCTGAGTAGCCCCTGAAGAACACAATGGACTTCATTGGATTTATGTTCTTATCAACCCATCTCGCCCACGTCGTCATAGCCTTTCGAAATGCCTCAAGAACATTCAAATCTTCATAAACATGGCTCCCTTCTTGGTAATAATCCTTCCTGCATTCATTCAACATAGCTCAACTCGTCAAAACTCGAACGGATTCACTTGAATAACACAATTGGCACTTACCCTTTTGCAGTTTTGTCATGAGTCCACCAGTGACCAGTGTTGAAGACAATTATATCAGCTTCTTTGTACTGATCGGACGACTTCCCGACCAAATCGAGACGCAACGTTTCCTTCTTTTTACCGTTCTTGTCCGGTGTCTCCCATTCTCGGACTAAGAAGGGAGACACAAAGAACTCTACAGTGAAGTTATAATCCTATCGAGCCAAAGACAAAGAAACAAACCCATCAAATGAATGAGTATTCACCAAAAACAAGTGCTTGGAAGAACAAGTAGAACACAAAACCAACCTTAAATATGAAAGAGTAGGCTGCTTCCCCTCTGAAAACCTGCCTTCCATTGGCTTCAAACACCTTAGTTTGATCTTTAACAGAGTTTCTTAATATACAAACAAGCGATTCCCACATGTTTCGATTCAGCGAATCGCCCACGAAAACTAATCTCTTCCCTTTCAACATATCCAACATTCTACCTCCATCCAACCTACATCACATTATTGTGTAATTGGAAAGTTAATGAGTTAAGAATAAGAGGAATCGAAAGTGCGATCTTCATTGATGTTCATAGCAACATAATAGGGAACATATCATTTAGAGTTCATTAGGGATTCTTGGCCACTAAACATAGAGCTGCAAACAATCTTTTGACACAATTCTGATTGGTTAAACTAGATCCAGCAATTTCAAATGAACATAAACAATGAAGGAATGGCTAGAAGATCAAAACCCAAGAGCCTATAATCCTGTTGATTGCTTCAAATTCATCAAAAGAACTTAGAAAAAATTTATGATCATACCTTGGGAGATCGCACTTCTTGGGCTTCCATCTAAGTTTCTGATAATTCTTATCAGGCCTGGCATTCAAATAGCAATTGAATTGTTCATCAATCAGCAAACAAGAACCAGGTTTATAAAGTGGATAAGAATCATCTGGCACCCATTCTCCATCGAAAAAATCACAATTCTTCAAAGACTCGAACCAATCATTCTGGTTCACAGATTCACCAGAATCTGAATCTGAATTCGTCGGTACATTCTTCTCCACCGCACTAGAACTTCCGTTCTTCAATGGATTCGATTTCAGCACCGAACCATTAACCTGATCATCCACCACCGGAGGGGATTTTGGCGATTCAGTTCGATTCGAGTTCGTAACATCAGGAACCGGTGTAGATTGAGTGTCATTCTTCACTGTTCCCCTCGGCTGTTGAGTTCGAGGCGGAGGCGAAACTGCAGAATCCAGCGTCTGATTCCCAGGCGGTGGACTGTTTACCAGTACCGATTCTTCCGTACGGTTCTTCACACGCGGCGGCTCTTTCTCAACAGTCGACGGCCGAGGCGGAGCCGTCACATTACTAGATCTAGGCAAATCACCCTCCGGCGCCATAGGAGGGATCGCCGGATTACTCTGCTGGACTGAACCGTTAGGAAAAAGGTAAGAAAGAAATCCAGAACCTCGATTAGAGGAATTAGACCCCACAAAGTTCCTCCCACTGAAAATATTAGAGAAGGAAGGCAAATAGGAAGAAGTAGAAGAAGAGTTAAAAGCCAAAAAGGCCGTGAAAACAACGAAGGCCAACATGAATCCATAAGCAAAAGCCATAGTTCTCCTGGTTTTAAGAATGGAGAAGAGACTCTTCACGTCTGATACCAGATTTCCGCCATTGATGAGCTGGTACTTCGTCACTTCAGCCATGGCGGCAGATCGAAGAAACAGAACCACCCAGTTTTTCTGCAACTCCGACGAACAAGTTTTTTAGAGAGAGAAACAGTGGTGAGTTTTAGAGAGAGAAGTGAAATCCGTGACTGAAAATCACAGTCCTCGAGTCGATCAATTGGGAGGAAGACGATTGTTTCAAACGGATTTGAAAGAGGAAACTCGTCAAATTCACCAAATCTAAATCCAATTAAATTTTTCTAAATTATTTTCCCAAAATGCTTAAATTACTATCATTTATAACTACCCATAATCTGGCGTTTAATTACTCTATTGCCACTCCCTCAAATCCGTTACCCCGTTGAGTCATGTTTGTAAAGTGATCCTGCTCGTACACGGAAGGACACGTGTCGTTTCTTTATATTCTTGGATAATAAATATTTTATATTTAAAAAAATTGAAATCTAAAACTAAAATAAACCCCAAAATTATCTAATAACTCCAAATTTTCCCTCCCGGGAATCTTGGTTATAATTTCTAATCAATTTAAATAATTTTGATTTAATTCTAATTTTTTAAAATAATAAATCATAAATGTACTCAAAGAAAAGAAAAGAAAATAAAATAAAATAAATATTTTTTTAAAGTATACTACAAATGTATATATATACATATATGTATATATGGCGTGTTATCAATGCGTGAAATTATTGTTGGCTTTTGCTATAAATAAGCATATAATGTAATGATGACAGATCAATGATTCATATCATTAATAACTTTAATTAATGACGTGGACCATTGAGATTAATAAATTATAAAATATATTTAAAAATTTTAAATTAATTATATTTAACCTTATTTGGATTAAATTTAAAATGATACAATCAAATGTCTAATGATTATATTTGGATTAAGTGATAAAAAAAAACGAGGAAATTACAATAATGTAATTATAATTTTGAAAATAAAATGTTTTAATTAAAAAAATTATTGACTTATCCCTTTAAATTTACCGTTTGTAACATTGAATAAAATTCACCTTCCATATTTTTTACTTAATTACCACTGACTAAATAACTGCCTTTTAAAATCAATAATTAATTAAACTCGCGGTTTTTTTATTCCGTACATATTGTGCCACGCGTACGAAGTAGATCGAACTGTTGTTTTTTTTTTTTTTTCGGAATGAACGGTGGAGATTGATTTGAAGCGCCGTCCAACTATATCGACGTGTTGGACGGTCACATGTTGTTGCGTGACAGTAGGGTACAGCTAGACTAACCAAGAGTCTATTTTTGTGCTTGGTATTGGGAATCTCACAACAGTACAGGTGTCCTTGTATTAAATAATTGACTAAATTATAAAAGAATTATAATTTTAAATTTTTTTATAATATTATTTTTAACTTTTGAAACATTTATAAAAAAAATAACAATAATTTTGCACAAAAAAAAACAAACGTAATTTTACTAAAATTCATCGGTGTTTTTTTTTTCTTGATTAAATTAGATGAAAGTCTAATTTTTTTTTATTCCAAATTTTAGGGAGTGAATTAATATTAGTTGAATTATTTTTATTTATTTTCGGAAATATAATTGCTTTATTATTAAAATTGAATGAGATAATTAATTAAAAGTAATATAGGTGGGGACCACCAAGAGCATCCGTACCGTGGAAATGGAAATTTTTGGGAAAAGCGGTTTACGCGTTGGTCACCAATACATTATTGTTGGATTCGTTGCATTTAATGATGTTACGATTTAGTTTGTCGGTGTTCAATTTATGAATTATTAAATCCTAATAAGATTTTAATAATACTTATAAATTCATTCCAAACCTTATAAATACTCTCACAATCGAATTAGGGTTTGGAGCTCTTCGCTTCTTGATCGATCTATCATTTTCTTGTCGTTTGCTCGATTTTCGTAAAACACTCATGTTTCGCCTCGCAACCGTTGCATGCATGAGGCCGCCAAAGAAGAAAGAACACCATGCAACTAGTTCACAACGATAGAGACGATTGGTTCGACGTGCATAGCTAGTTTAGTTTAGATGCCAACAATTTAGGGCTAACTCAATCCCGTTTGTTGCTTCTCGATCCATTCAACATAATTCTCAATGGGTTTAGTCCTAATCCAATTGGGTCAAGTCAAAATCTAACTAATTCAGCTCAAATTTCAATTAATTTTACAATTTTCTTATCGGTTCATGTTAGTTTCCCTTCGATTTTGAATAGTTTCGAACATTTATATGAAGTTTAAAAGTCGAGACATTTTATGGGTATGTTCCGATACTATTTAGATTACATTGAGCTCCAAATAGTTATAATAATGTATCATGTGTATATACATATATGTATCTATAGTGTAACGATCCAGATCCACCGCTAGCAGATATTGTATTCTTTGGGTTTTCCCTCAACCGCTCCCAGATATTGTCCTCTTTGGAATTTCCCTCGAGGTTTTAAAACGCGTCTGCTAGGGGAATGTTTTCACACCCTTATAAATGGTGGTTTGTTCCTCCTCCCCAACCAATGTGGGACATCACAATCCACCCCCATTCGGGGCCAGCGTTCTCGCTGGCACTCTTTCCTTTCTCCAATCAATGTGAGACCGCCCCCCAAAACCACCCCCTTTGGGACTCAACGTCCTTACTGGCACACCGCCTCGTGTCTACCCCTTTAGAGAACAGCAAGAAGGCTGACACATCGTCCAGTGTCTGGCTCTGATACCATTTGTAACGACCCAGATCCCCCGCTAGCAGATATTGTCCTGTTTAGGCTTTCTCTTTCGGGCTTCCCCTTAAGACTTTAAAACGCGTCTGCTAGGGGAAGGCTTCCACGCCCTTATAAATGGTGGTTTGTTCTCCTACCCAACCAATGTGGTAAATCACATATAGATAGATGATAGATAGACACACACATATATCTAATCTCGAGAAAAATGAGATTTCATAAAATAAGAGAATTAAAGTTTTACATTTCTTTTCGATATAAAAGTAAATTGTCCACAAAGACAATGATAAGATGTTTGAAATTCACACAAAAAGTACGCAACTTGTGTATAGTCAATTAGAGCGTTCGTTGTGCAAGTTGAGTCGGTAGTTATATAAAAATATTTTAAGAAAATGTTGATAAATTAAAGCGGTTAGTGCTAGTGAATATATTAATCATTAAAAAACATTTGATAAAAAAAAGTAAATTTATGCTAAAGTGGTTAATCAAGATTAAGAAATTACTTACCTATTTAAACGGTAAAAAATGGTAAAAAGAAACATAATTTAGCTCATATTTAATATGTGTTGGTTAATAAATAGGGATTTGGAATTATTTATTTATTTTTATTTATTTTTAGAATTTGAAAATTGGTCTCCAAAAGAATTTTCAGTGGGCAGACGGCTGCAACGATGAGGTCAATCAAAGCGGCCCCGGCTAACTCCCAACCCAATGTTTTTTTTTTTAAAATAATTTTTATAATTATTTATTTATTTATTTATTACCACTTGTATATTTTTTATTCTAAAAACAATGGCCGCCATATATTTTTAAGGGCAAGGTAGGTTTTTATATTTAAACTAATTCTTCTCACGTGCGCAGACGCTATCATAGTTTTACAAATAATTCCATAAAATAACTTTTTTGAAATTTTTTTTTGAATAAAAATATAATATTTTAAAATTTAGAGACCCAAATGAAAACTAAGCTTGAACGGTAGGAACAGAACATGAAGTATATGTTTTAGTTCAATGAGCTATACTCCAATAAGTGAAATAAAAAATGTAATTGGAGTTCGAATGTTGGATCTAAAAATGGATTAATTACGAATTTCCTTTATGTTTTTCAATGGAAAAGAAAAGATTGAAAGCAAGAACACGACCGCGAGCACCACGACCACATGATCCTATGGTCAATGGAATGTGTGCAACGTTCACACCAAATCTAAGACCTGTATCGTCCCATAATTCTCCATCATCAAAGCCTAAATTTGAGAAATTTTTAGTGGGTTTCGAAGCTTTCACTTCGCCATGGCGTCCAACAATCCCCCTACTCTTCTTCTTCTTCTTCTTTTTTCCGCCATTTCTGCAACTCTTATAACTCAAGTTTTCACCTTCTTCATCGATTTCCCCCTTGCCACTAACTACGACCAGCTCGCCACTCTCATATGGACCTACGATACCAGCGTCTTCCATGGCCAAAACGTGCGGCCCCCACTCCCATCGGAAGTTCAGTCCATCCCTAATGCCTCTGTTCGAGTCGTTTACAATGAGACGTTTCTGCTCAGAAACAGAGATAAAGCGGCTACGTTTATAGCTAATTTTGTGCTTAATTTGGGATCGGAGGCGAATTCTTCACCGGCTGGAAATGAAGGGGTCGCCTTTATTCTCACGCCGGAGCTTGCTCCTCCGGCCGGTAGCGAGGGCCAGTGGCTGGGGATTGCTAATACGAAGACGAATGGGATGGCGGAAGCTAGAATATTTGCGATTGAATTTGATACGAAGAAGAATTTTCCAGGGGATGTTGATGGGAATCACGTGGGGTTGGATTTGAATGGTGTTGACTCTGTTTTGCAGGTGCCACTGTCGGGGATTGGAGTTAATCTTTCGGGTACGGCGGATGTTTTCGTCAGAGTTGATTTTGATGGCGAAAATATATCGGTGTTTGTGTCTTTGTCGTCTAGATTGGAAGATCAATTGAAAAGCAGAGTGATTTTTCATCCCCTGAATCTCTCGTTTCTTCCTGATGAGGTTTATGTTGGCTTCTCTGCTTCAAAATTCGATTACAGTTCACAGCTAAATTGGATAAAATCATGGCAATTCTCCGGCGATGATGTCGGCGACGTGGAATCCAACAACCATCGTCGATGGGTCAATATCGCCATCGGCGTTGGTGTCAGTGGAGTTGTTCTATTACTTGGGGTTGGATTTCTCTGGTTTTGGATCATGAAGAAACGAAGAAGGGATTTGGAAGAAGCCAACGACGGAATTGAAGATCAGCTTCAAGATTTCTCCATAGCCCCACGAGTTCAAAAGTTCAGATTTAGAGAATTGAAGAAGGCAACGGATAATTTCGACCCCAAGAACAGGCTCGGGAGAGGCGGATTTGGAACGGTTTACAAAGGAAATTTGACGAACAGAGAGGTCGCCGTGAAGAGAATCTCGGAGGATTCTCGTCAAGGGAAGCAAGAATTCATAACAGAAGTGGCAACAATCGGCGGCCTCCATCACAAGAACCTCGTAAAGCTAATTGGGTGGTGCTACGAGAAGAGGGATTTTTTACTTGTATATGAATACATGCCAAACGGCAGCTTGGACAAGTTGATTTTCGGCGGCGGCGGCGGCGATAGTGGCTACGTCGATTACAGGTTCTCCACCGGACCCAATTGGGAAATTAGACTGAGCATAATTTATGGGGTGGCTGAAGCTCTGGATTATCTTCACAATGGGTGCGAGAAGACAGTCCTACACAGAGACGTGAAGTCTTCAAACATAATGTTGGATTCGAAATTCGAACCAAAACTGGGAGATTTCGGGTTGGCTCGGACAATTCGTCGAACAGAACAGACGCATCATTCGACGAGAGAGATAGCCGGGACACGAGGGTACATGGCGCCGGAGATTTTCCTGACGAGCAGGGCGACGGTGGAGACAGACGTGTATGCATTTGGAGTTCTAGTTCTGGAAGTGGCATGCGGGAGAAAGGCAGCGAACCCGTCGGAGATAGGCGGGAACTACGACGGGGATATTACGCATTGGGTGTGGGAGTTTCAAGAGAGAGGGGAAATAGTCAAAGCTGCGGATGAAAGGATGGCAGGGCAATATGAGAAGGAAGAAATGGAGAGGATTTTGGTTTTGGGATTGGGTTGTTGCCATCCGAATCCGCATCAACGGCCGACGATGAAAAACGTTCTGCAAGTGCTTACAGGGGAAATGAATCCACCGACACTGCCTCATGAAAAGCCTACGTTCATGTGGCCGGCAATGGCGCCGTCGTCCAGAGATGATACAGACAGCTCTGTGAGAGAAACCCAATTCGCCGATCAATTGACAGAGCTTGTTGGGAGATGATTTAAACATGGAAGAATCCCCCCTTCTTCGTAGCCTTCTTGTTCCTAAACTTCTTTCGTACACTTGGTGTGGGAGTTTATGGACAGAGAGATTATGTATAATTTTGAGGCATAGATCTCTTGTTTGTTGTGTTCAAATATTTCTGAATTTGGGTATGTTTCAATCAATGTTCGAAGAAGCCTTAGAAAGGAAACTAACACACACTCTTTCATTCATGATTCTGTTCTATTTAATGACATAATCAACCTTCAAATCAGAACCTAAAACAGCCAAAGATAGCCACCTATGGAACATGAGGTAACCTACAAGAAGAGGGCGTCCAATAAGACCAAATGAGTACTTAGAAAAAGGATTTGACACTAAAATCCATAGTTAGTAGCCACTTCTCTCTAATAGACGAGTTTTAAAACTTTGCAGAAAAACCTAAAAGAGAAAATCCAAAGAGTACAACATCTACTATTGGTAGGCTTGAGCTGTCATAAATGATATCAGAACCACACTGAAACCCTAAATGGGGTGGATTGAGAGATACCACGTTGATTAGAAAGGAGAAGGAAGCATTCCTTATTAAAGACATGAAAACTTCTCAACATCTACTGACGGTAGGCTTGAGCTCTTACACAAGAATGTAAGTAATAAATTCACAACCCAAATATAAATTCAACGCTGCAATCTTTCCAACCATATAAACCTATCATGTGATCCTAACACCTCTTCTTAGTAGACTGGGGCCTCTATTGGAAGCTTCTGAAAGTCTCACAGTCATTTAATGAAAAACCAAATGCTTGCAGCATTAATTCAACTAAAGCTATTAAAGGGAAAAGAATGCATTCCTTTGGCCACAAAAACATGGATGAGATTAACAAGACAGATTATGAGAGTTACAGAGAACAAGACAGAATGTGATAAAGAGATGACAATTGTATCTCATTTATGTCAAAACTCAGAATCCAACAATGAATTTTCATTCTCAAATATGGATGGAAGACAGCACATACTATGAGCACAACACCATCATCTGACAATTGAAAAATGAAGCATTTCAAGTAATTTTAATTCATGAAGATATGCAAATGATAAGCTTCTTCATAAGTCAAAGGACTGGACTCTAGTGTAAGACAGTACCCCATCACATTCCAAATCCAAAAACTGCTCTGATCTTATGGAAAATAAGATCCCGCCAGCCCCTCTCTGTGTTCTCCACTACAGTTGCGTTCCCATATCTATTTCAAACCAAAAGATGAACAAATTAGCTAACAGAACCACAGAAACTGAGATTGAAACTTGTAAAAGTAAAAAAGATGTCAACCATTTGATCAGAAAAACCAACCTGTCCTCCTCAGGCACGTCGGAATGTACCAACTTCACAACGGTAACCCCTGGCTCGGGCTCATCGAATGTCAACTTCACCTGCACATACCATTTTCAGAACCAATTTAGCTTTGATGATATGTTGGATTAATCACCAGAACCCATTAAACGAATCCATACTAGCAAAAAAACACCCTTGAATTGTAGGAATTTTCTACTGCTATAATGCCATACGTGATTGGATGTAGCTACAACAATTTCATAAATTTGATCAACATATGACAAACTATAGCGTTAACAAAGGGCAAAGTAAAATTGAAAGTTGTAGAAATGAAATGATTATGAGTTGTATCCGAATATTCAACCATCCAAATTATCAGCCCTTTCAAACAAAGGATCGTCAAATTTTACCAGTAAATGTTCCCTAAGGTATACCAGAAAACAGAGCATTGAGAAGGAGATGGGTAAAGAAGAGTGGAACAAAATTGAAAGCTCACCGTGGAATGAATGCCGTCAGGCCAGCTTCCGAATCTCCATTGTTGCACAATCAACTTCCCCTCTTCCAACTCCAAGTTCTTCCCGGTGACAGACCCATCAAATATACTGATCTCTCCACCGACTTCCTTGCTTATTTTAGCATTGCTCTGAGTGAATCCTTTCCATCTATTGTCGTCCATGAGAATTTCAAACAGAATGTTTGCCCTACAACTAAACTTCTCGGTCAGAGTTATTGTCTTAAACCCTTCCTTAGCTTTCTTCTTCTTCTCTGCCGCCACTGCCGGCTTTGGCGCCACAGGGGTTGCAGGGGCAGCTGCCGCCGCCGCAGATTGATTACTCTTCGGCGCCACCTTTTTGGCCTCCAAATCATCCTTCGCAGGCCCACCCTTAGCCATACTCTGCACATACAATCTCACCTTCTCCAACACAATCGGCTTCCCCTTAGCCAACATAGCATCCTTCATTCTCTTCCCAATCGGCCCTTCGTCCTGGACAGAAACCCTAACTTCAGGATCCTCATCGGCGTTCTCATCGGAAATGTACGGAATCTCCACAAGCCCATCGACCTTCTGCACAGATTTACCGGCGGAATCCTTGGCCTCGCCTACCCAAGAGAGAGTGACACTAAGTTCATAACCAGGAATGATCTTCCCCTTCCGAATATTGACATATGCTTCGCCATCGACCTTGTCCACCTTCTTGGTTTTGATGAAAAGGCCGCCCTCGCCGTCGAGAAGGGGGAGGTTAGAGAAAAGCTTAGACATGAAATTGCGGGACCATTCGAGACAATCCGTCTCAGCCCAGTGCCAGTTATGGACATTGGTGCCATCCTGACGTTCTTCGACGATCCACCGCTTGTCGCCCTCGCCGAACTTGGCCATTACCGGAGCTTGGGAGAGGGAAAATTACGTCGGAGAGATGAGAAAGAGAGAATTTCAAGCGGGTTCAGAGAGATCTAAGCGAACGAGAAGTAAGGATGGAGGAAGCAATAAAGGGAACCCGTAGAGTTCGGAAGGTTCTCGGCGTAGAAGTCTCTAGAACTATGGCGGCACATCGTCGTTCGGATCAAAAAAATAGGGTTCCTATTCATGGAAATAATATTTAATTTTGGTCACGTTATTAATTTTTACCATAATTGGGGCATAATTTTAATATTTAAAAATATTGGACAAAAAATTTAAAATTTATTTTCTAATTATTTGATTTTAAGTTAAATTTGTATATATTAAGAAGCCGTTGACAGTTCGAGAAAGTCAAAACCCGCGAAAAAGGTCAGACTTCCGCCGAATGTCTACAGCTCTGACCAGGCACCCATGCTCTCTCTTGATTCCTCAATCCCCATTTCAGATTTTCGCTTTCTCCCTCTCCTGCAAAATGATCAAACCTCATCGATTCAAGAAAGTCGCCGACCCCAAAACCCCCATTTCTTCAACCGTGCTCCGCCGTGAATCTCAAACGAGGAAGAAGAAAAAATCAGGGCATCGCCCCAAATCGGTGACCATTCGTGCCAAATCGAAGCCCGCGACCGACCCACAAACCCAAATCGCTGAATCCTCACCCTCTTCCTCTTCCGAGGGATTCACGATCCTCCCCAAAGAGTTCTTCCTCGTTGACGCTTTGGACCTCGCCCCACGCTTGCTCGGAAAGCTCCTCAGGAGAGACGACGTTGTTCTTCGGATTACTGAGGTATCCGTTCCGCGTTCTTTCTTGTATTTGTAAAGCCTGTGCGTATCCATTTTTTCTTTCTGTCCAAGTCACTGAGATAAATGCACACAACCTGTTTGATTTTTTGTCTGTTTAAATACCAAGTTACTGAAATCTGTTTTTCTACTAATGGGAGTTGGAATTTTCATGCTGATATTGTGATGATATCTTGGATTTGTGAAAAAGTTGTATTGGCTTATTGAGACCCGACCATTGAAATGATTCTGATAGGTAGAAGCTTACAGACCAAATGATTCTGCTTGTCATGGTCGGTTTGGTGTCACAGCTAGAACAGCTCCAGTAGTAAGTACTTTTTAGCTGAACTGATTGCTGATGGGAAAATGAAGAATGGGATGTCTACTTCTTGTAGATGTTTTCATAACCAAGTTGTATGGATTTGTAGTTTGGACCGGGCGGGCATGCGTATGTTTATCTTTGCTACGGTCTCCATATGATGCTGAACGTTGTTGCCGATGAGGTCGGAATTGGTGCTGCTGTGTTAGTCAGATCATGTGCTCCTGTCAGTGGTAACTTTCTAGCCTGCTTGTACCTAAGTTCTTTGATCTAATGTTTGACACAGTTTTTCGAAGCCTGAATTCGTATAATGTGTGTTTGGATTGTTTAAGAGTAGGTTATACAAACCTGAGCTCATGTGATTTATCTTTAGTTTGTGGCTTTATCATTTGTTGAAGTTAGTATATTGTACAAATGTAAGTTTAAAACACGACTTCCTTTCACATGGCCAACCTGTGAGATTAAAGATCCGGTAGCTTGGAACGAGCTAACCGAGCTATCAAATATAGGCAAAGTTCTTAATTCAAGCTTACACAAACTTAACCCATGAGCAACCTATGAGATTTCACATCGGTTGGAGAGGGAAACGAAATATTCTTTATATGTGCATGGAAATCTCTTCCAAACAGACGCCCAAAGAAAATAATATGTGCTAGAGGTGGGCTTGAGCTGTTATACAACCACCTCTAGATGCTTTCCCTGTAGTCTGGAGCCCATTGTTTAGTCAGCACCCAAATGAAATTGTTTTCTATTGTTGGTTAGAATTGTTTCGTAAAGGTCCATTTCTGCTTCTTGGAGCTGGCTGTAAACGAGGTTCATCTAGAATCAATGTATTGTTTTTCGGTATGTCATAGTTAGAGAATATGTGAATTGTTAAGACCCGTTTGAAAATTATGCTTGTTTTCTTATCCTTTCTTTACAGTAGTTTTCAGTAAATTGTCAGGTCCCACATCGGTTGGAGAAGGAAACGAAACATTCCTTATAAGGGTGTGGAAACCTCTCCTTAGCATACGCATGTTAAAACCGTCAGGCTGACGGCGATACGTAATAGACCAAAGCGGACAATATCTGCTAACGGTAGACTTGGGTTAATACAAATGGTATCAGAGCATCCATCGTTCTTGATTGGATGTAACTTTTCACTGTAGGCTTTCATAATTGCATTGTTAGATTAATGTAAACAATATACAGGACTGGAGACGATTCAGAAACGGAGAGGTCAGATCACAAACAAGCCTGTTCTTCTTACTGGGCCGGGAAGGTAAGGAAATACGTTCAATGCCCCCTCCCAAATCCTTCCCTATGCGTTTTATTTATAGAAACAGCTTATTTCGTCCTAAAGATGAAACTAATGGACTTTCCCTAGTTAGAAGTATGTGACCACCAAACGATGACTGCATCTCAAAGATGAACCCATAAACTCCTCGCGTTTCCTTCGGGAAAGAAAAATGCCACGGGGTGAATTTGGAGCATTTAGCATATAACAGCCGAAGCCCATCACTAGCAGATATTGTCCACTTTGGCTGGTTACATATCTCCGTCAGCCTCATGATTTTAAAACGTATCCGTTAGGAAGATGTTTCCCACTCAGGGCCCAGCATCCTTGCTAGCACACCACTCAGTGTTTGGCTCTGATACCATTTGTAATAGTCTAAGCTCACTGCTAATAGATATTATCTACTTCGGCCCGTTACGTATTGCCGTCAGTCTTACGGTTTTAAAACGCGTCTACTAGGGAGAGGTTTCCACACCCTTGTAAGAATACTTTATTCCCCTCTCCAACCGATATGGGATCTCACAATATGGGTCAAAGTAGACAATATCTACTAGTGGTGGACTTAGGCCGTTACATGACATGAACATGAACATGTGCATTTGTGATCTATTGCTTCTATGAGGCTGAGTCTGGTTAATCTTAAAATGTCGAGGGGAATCATATCATTGTAGAACTCGTAGAAGATTTGTTTGTTTCTCTTCTTTTGGCAGTGAAATATTGTAAAAGAAAAAACCATCAGAGTTGAAAATGGTTAATATTGCTCTGTTAAGAAGTCATTTTACATCTGATATCACTACTTACCAAATTTATTTCTTACTTTTCTCAAAGGTTGGCCAAGCGCTCGGGTTATCGACAGAATGGTCTAACCACCCGTTTTACGCTCCCGGTAACTGTCATTATAATGCTTCTACCTGTATGCCCCTCGAAGAACTCTGTCGTATGATGTATGTATGAATGTGTTTTAGGTGGCTTAGAACTCCTCGACGCTCCGGAGCCAGAGAACATCCTAGTAGGTCCTCGTGTTGGAATTGAGTATGCGCTGCCAGAGCACGTGAATGCTTTGTGGAGATTTGCCATTGCAGGAACTCCATGGATAAGTGCTCCTAAGAACACTCTCAGGCCATCCTGATAGCCATCCTGATAGCAGTAGATGGAGCAATCTGTTGTGTTTAGAATTATTTTGTATCACTGAAATTGGATTTGGGAATGTTCTTTAAGGTATATGATTTTAATAGTAGATATTCTCCACTCTTGCCCACTACCCACTACGTATCGCCGTCAGCCTTACGATTTTAAAACACGTCTTTCAGTGTTACGCAACGGAATCAATACTCATCTAGATACTATCTTTTTTAGGCTTCCCTTCAATGTTTTTGAGTTTTTCTTTTAGGTTTCTCTATTACACGTCACCTCACACTCCTAGAAATGCTTCATTCCCCTCTCCAAATGGAGGATCTCACAATCCATCCCATACGGTGCCATTGTTCTTGATGACACACCTTCTATTCGGCTTTGATATCTTTTGTAACAACTCAAACGTCTCTCTCTCAAAAGTTTTATTATTAACATTATTTTTTAAGTTGATGTCTTTTCATTATTTTATTTTATTTTTTATAAATTTTGAATATAAATGTGACAAATGGAAAATAATACGACATGGTGAGAGGATGAGACTTTACGACCCCGAAAAATAAATAAATATATCTAAACCATTAAATAACTTAAATTATATGAATATATATATATATATATATATATATATATATATATATATATATATATATATATATATATATAT